GGTAGGTTTTGTAGTTTTACAGTAAAATGTATTTCTAACAAGTTACTATTTTAACATAAATGTCATTTTTGAGACAATAAGGGGGAAAACAAGAAAGGATGCCGACATGCCTTATGGATATGATGCCATATGCCTTTATGTATGTTTAAACATTTTTTTGTGCCCTAATCCGTTAATAAAAGGAAAAGGAGAAATAGTGGCCTGTTGGGTCTTCAGCCCTTACTGAAATTGAATAAAATTATTTTTCAATGAAATTGTTAGGGTAGATTGCCAATTTCTACTTTTCTAGAAAATCACCTTTACCTTCGAATAACCTGTTCTCCATCCAGCCTATAAAAGTGGGATTTTACTAAACAAATTACCTCTAATGCCACATATTATACATAATGGCCATAAACGTCTAAAATTTTAAGGAAGCATTATAATTTGAACAATTCTTGGCCCAACCTGGTATTTGGAGAGGATCCAGATGCATGAAAATAAAACAAACCACATGAGCCATTTATTTTGAGCTTTGAATGTTATTTTTCTGATGATTATCAATGAAACTGTCATGTATCCCGGGAAGTGGGGACTATTAGAATTATTTATTTTGATATCATTCTTTTGCATAATTGTGTCTGATATTTTAACAGAATTGATGTTCACATGCATGTGGGTATTGATTATCAATACTTTCACCTTATTATGTGTACATGAATTAGTTCTGATTTTCTTCAAAACCTGATTTGCATAATCACATTATTAGACATTTACAAATACTTAATTTTATGTGGATCTTTTTTCTTGATCGATTTCCTACTTGACTAAGAATATCCCCACATGCTCTCTTGAAGGCTGTTTTAGTCACACTAGCAGAACCCCAGGCTCAAATGTCAAATGGGATCAGTTCTATAGAGTGCACTAATCACGCTACAATATTTCTGCTGCTAAAGTTATAGTCACATATTACCAATCGTGGCAAAATATAAATGTCTAGTGATTATATGAAATGTTTTTTGTGAACTCCCCAGATGGGATTTTTTTTTACCTTTGTTTGTTTATTTGAGAATAACAACTGAATGCTAAAATGTGATGCCTGATGCCAGCAATCTAAGGCTTCATTAGTACAAACAAAGCAATACTCACTTTGCTACACAAATAATTAGAGAGATTAAATGAAAATAAACACGGAGAGGATGTGCAGAAGCTCCGAAGTTAGGTAATTATTTTAATTACTCTAGTGACTTCCACCAACCTTCATTATCAGCCCCAGATCAAACTTAAATTGTTTTATGTAACAGTATCATAAGCTATATGGAAAGAGTACTACAGCTATTCAGTGATTATGCTTCATAAAAATGACATTTTGTTCAAGCCCCCATTTAAAGGATATGTTTCCATTTTAATGCCTAATGAACATTATTTTAAAAGCACAAGTTTTTGCACTTAAAAGTGTTTTATTCTGGTTTTGTGCTTCAAATGGACCTTATCCTTAAATCATCACTAAGATTTGATCATAAAGGATTTAGGGCCACATTTTTGAACCAGTGGATATAAAACGATATGGCATATTCAGCCATTTCAAATAAATGTCACTTGGAATCATGTCATTCTTATTTGTATGACAAGCTGTATTTTTATATTTGGGGAAAATTGATTTCTTCTTTTTTCCCCTCCCTACACTCACCTGGGAAGACTAATATTGAAGTCCCCAACCCCCAGGGCCATAGACCAGTACCTGTTCATGGCCTGTTAGGAACTGGACTATACAGCAGCAGGTGAGTGGTGGGTCAGTGCACAAAGCTTCATCTGTATTTACAGCCACTCTCCATCCCTTACATCACTGCCTAAGTTCTTCCTCCATCAGGTCCTCCCTACCTGTCCATGGAAAAATTATCATCCATGCAACTGGTCCCTAGTGCCAAAAAGGTTGGGGACTGCTGCTCTAATACACTAACAGAGGTTACCTTCCCTACAGGTAAAGATACTATTTAGAGGCATTTTCATTCCTGTTTATGACAGATTTCACTTTATGTTCACTTGGCAATGATGATACATCAAGATCACCATTAAGATAGTCTTTTAAGATAGCATTACCTGTATTTAAGTACCATTTATTGACTGCTGATGTATGCCTGCTCTTCTGCAAAATACTTAATTTATCCCATCCAATCCTTACTAGATTCCCATGAAGTATATATTATTAACTCTTATCTTACAAAAGAGGAAATGCAGGCTTTGGGAGGCTCATCGACTTTCTAAATTTGCACAAGTAGAAAGTAAAAGTAACCCAGCTGGGAATCAAATTCAGGTTTGCCTGTCTGCAAGATCCATGGCACTCCCAACAAATGACTGAATGAGGTGAAGCTGGGTGTACATGCTGACTTAAGGTAATAGGAAAACTGAACCAACAGTCCTCACTGTGCAGGTTGAGTGTTGTGTTGTATGACACCAGTGAATTCTGGGAGCCAGCTAAAGCTTCATATTAAACTGCAGATTTGATGGGTTTTGAAAATTTCCCCCTCTGAATAGCTCTGGTTCCTGGAGAAGACACAATTAGGAAATAGGTTTTATGGTACAGTGGGACTAATCAACAGCTCCCAAAGTTAGTACGCTTCTGTAACCACTTGTCTTACTCCAGCTAACACGAGGCATTTCTTTTCAACCAAATTAAAATATTCCAACCAGACAAAGTAGACTTCGGTCGTGTTGGGGTGGAGGGGGAGGTTAGGCAGGTGGGAGGGTGTGTTGCTTTTGAATATTTAAGAAAACCCTTTTCTTTAAAGGGAGCCTTGACTTCCCTCTCCTTGCACTACCCACATGATGCTGGCAAGCTCCTCAAGGCCTGACTGGGACACATTTTCCCAAATTGTGTTATATTCAGAGGCACATTATGATTTTGGGGAATAAAGGAAGAGGTCTAATGGATTCCTCGGTTCCTATGTTGAGAATGCCTAATCTTCAGATCTTAAAGAGTGAGTTGTAGGTGGCTTGGGGAAGATGAGACAGAAGGCCAGCTCTAGCAAGTGTTGAGGGGTGGAAGGGTCTAAAATTTCACTCTCAGGTTTCAGAATCTGAAGGGGAAGTTAGGGAAATTCTCAGCCAATACCTGTAGGGGGTGAGGGAGTAGGGCTAGGAGAATAGGAACTTAGGCTGGAGGGGCTCAGGACTCTCTATTGCACTCCCAGGATGCACAGTTGGAGGGATTGCTTTGTCAACAAGTCTTGGAAAGGCAGACTGTGGAGGGGAAAGGGGCTCAGATTGGGAGGACCCTGTCGCTGTCCAAGCACCCCCTGGCAGGTGCCAGCGAAGCACGAGGGCCTCTTCTTTTTCCAGGTGCATTACAGGCCACCAGGCACTCGGCTATTTATAGTATACTGGTCAGCTAAACAGAAAATGTGTCCAAACTAAGTCCACCTAAACGCCAACTGTTTTCTTGGTGTCCTCCAGATACCGTCATGATTCTCTGTCATGAAATGCTCTGATTTTGATAGCACCACGTTAATCCCTAAGAAGGCCCAGCCCTATTCGGCTGGCTGAGTGGGCTGTGACTTCTGCAGGCCAGGCGGTGAAGAAGCCGCCAGCCCTGCACAAGAGTCCCACGTTCTATTTCCACTTGGCCATTTGCCACTGACCTCAGAGAAATCACTTTAAACTCAGAGCCTCAGCTTCCTCATCCAGAAAATGAAGGTGATTCTACTTCCCAGGCCTCTTTGAAAGGATCGTTGGGAGGGTCAGATGGAATCATTCCGGTGGCAGCGAACTGTGAGGGCCTGTGACTACCGATAACTGAAGAAAAATAAGTTAAACATACTCAGCTGGAGTTTCGGAGTTCCCCCCAATCGTCTAACCGCAGGCGGCAATGGTTAGGATTCTGTCTTCCGGGCTGTCTCACGTACCGCACACCTATGTGCCAGGTGTCGCCCCCCTCCATCTCCGCGGGCTTCTTTTGCGGTCTGCCATTCAGCGGCAGCATTTGCTGTTCCAAACAGCCCCGACACACCAACCCCGCAGCCAGAGCCGGCGAAGGGATCCCCTTGGCTCTCCCTTTTCTCCCCAGCCTGGGCACCAGCACCAGCGCGCGCTGCCCGCTGAGTTTTCCGCGCGTGAATGGATTTTCCCGGCTGATCTCCAAAGACCTTGCAGTATTTAGGAAGGCTGAGAGTGCGCGGAGATCAGCGAGCAGCATCCCCTCCGGGAGGTGGCTTAGTCCCGCGGGGTCCCTCCTCCCGCCGCTCCTCCTCCCCTGTGCAGCGGCCGCCTCCCGAGCTAGCCCGCGGGGCCGTCAGTGCCAGACCCCGCCGAGAGCGGGGGGGCCCCGCTCCGCCAGTAGCAGCGCTGCTGTCTTCCCACAGGAGGGCCAGGAGGACGCCCGAGTCTGCAGCGCCCCCGCCCCCTCGCTTTTTCTTTCTTTCCATGCTTTAGGATCTTGCTGCCGGAGCCGGGAGAGGTTCCGAGAAGACCAGAGCGAGGGACAGGAGCGCAGGCTTCCGCTGCGGCGCGCAAGCGGAGCTGGGGGCTCGACATCCTCGGCGTCCCCTCCCACTCCTCGCCTCCCCGGCCGGAATGTAAGGAAGGAAATCCCTTGCGCCTGTCTTCCGCCCTCGAAGGTGTCCCTGAGACCACACTGGGACCCCGTGGCTGGAGCGGCTTTGCGGGCGCCCGCGGGACTGGAGCAGCGCGGCGCCCCGGGTGGCGATTCCGGGCTTCCACTCTTCGGAAAGAGCGCGGTGGGGATCATCGCCTTCCCGGCTCTCGCCACAACTCCTGAGCCGGCAGCGCGCGGCCGCACGAGTCCTGCTTCCCGCCAGCTCACCCAGAGTGGAGGGCAGCCCCTGCCCGCCCGCCTGCACTCCTCACGCCCAGGTGCTGAGCCCCGCGGGCAGCACCCCCGGCCCCATGGACAGCGCCCCGGCCACGGCTTCCTGAGCGCGGGCACCGCTGCCGTCCAGGCTGCGCACTGGGGCCCCCTGGCTCGTCCCTCTCTGGGGTGTCCGAAAGCCCGGAAAGCGCGCACCATGAAGTCTGTGCTGTTCAGCCGCTTCTTCATTCTATTGCCCTGGATCCTGATTGTCATCATCATGCTCGACGTGGACACGCGCAGGCCGGCGCCCCCGCTCACCCCGCGCCCCTACTTCTCTCCCTATGCAGTAGGCCGCGGGGGTGCCCGTCTCCCGCTCCGCAGGGGCGGTTCAGCGCGCGGGGCCGAAAAGCGCAACGAGTCTGGGCCGCTGCCGCAGCCCGCGTCTCCGCTGCCCACCATCTATGCCATCACGCCCACCTACAGCCGCCCGGTGCAGAAAGCGGAGCTGACCCGCCTGGCCAACACGTTCCGCCAGGTGGCGCAGCTGCACTGGATCCTGGTGGAGGACGCGGCGGCGCGCAGCGAGCTGGTGAGCCGCTTCCTGGCGCGGGCCGGGCTGCCCAGCACGCACCTGCACGTGCCCACGCCGCGGCGCTACAAGCGGCCCGGGCTGCCGCGCGCCACCGAGCAGCGCAACGCCGGCCTCGCCTGGCTGCGCCAGAGGCACCAGCATCAGCGCGCGCAGCCCGGCGTGCTCTTCTTCGCCGACGACGACAACACCTACAGTCTGGAGCTCTTCCAGGAGGTAGCGGCCCGCCGGCCCCGCCGGGGAGTGAGGGCGGGAGGAGCCGGGGGCGGCTGGACAGCGGCCACCCTCCCCCGGACGCTTGGGCTGCACTTTTCCGAGCTCAGTTCTGCACGCACGCGTTCGGGACACCGCGTGGAGCCGCTCCGCCCGGCAGCCCGCAGCCTGGGCCGGCGCGGGGGCGGGTCAGAGAGGACGGCGGCGGCTCCGGGAGGGAGTGCGCTGGGGCTGTCCGCTCTCGAAACCGGGTGGAAAGACGTGCACGGGCGTTAGACGGCGGGGGGCGGGGGGTGATTTCCAGGGACCCGGAGGCGCTGTCTGCGGGAGATCTGAGAAGGGGGCCTGCACAGGAGGGGGTACTTGGTGTGCAGGGATGCTTTCGGCGCGTGCAGGTGTGATTCAGAGTCTAGAGCCTTCCTCTTCAGGGAGGAAGATGAAGATGGTAATCCCAGAGACAAACGTCTCTAGTACAGTCCTCTGACACGAAAGGGCGGTTACTGAAACGCTGCCTTCTGCGGGCCTCCCTCCTATCTACTCTGCACTTGACTAGGGTCCTTCCTGACCTGAAGGTTAAATGTTTATATATTTTTTTCACAGATAAACCTTTTCTAGCAACTGAGTTGCAGTTGTTCTGCCCTATAGTTATGTCTTTTCGCAGCCTGCGGTGTCATGTGGGTTGCCCAGGCCCTTTCCCCAAACTTTTTCTAAAGCCGCTTTTTGGAGAGTTAGCGAGGCTGCACTGGCCCAGGGCCATCGCGTCCGGGTGCTGCCCGGGCCCAGCTGCTGAGCTGGCCCACGTGTTCCCCGGGAAGCCTGCACCACCGCGCGCGCACACGCACACGCACACGCACAGCCGCGGGTTAGAACAGGTGTGCTTCCTTGAGGCTGGTATTTTCCTGTGTGTAGGTGGGTACGCAGTCTGCAGATGGGACTGAGTTTTGTGATTTTGTCAGTTTTCTTCTTCCCTGTACGTAATTATAAGTAAACGCGACCTTGCTTTCTTTGACGTCCTGCAAGATGATTGCATTTCTTCACCTGAAATTTCTTGACATCCTGCCTCACAGAGACTCTCCCAGCTTTCCTTCTCCCAAGTAAACTGGACACTTGGGAAATACTATGCGGGAACTAGACCCTGAATTAGTAACATAATCTGTGTGTCTAGCAAGCAAATAGCCTAACTGCCCCCCCTCACATTTTTATCCTAATCTCAGTCTCAAATCAGAACTACTCTCTAGTCTTCCGGTTTAATTTTTCTGCCTGGCTTTTAAAAATTCACTTCTTAAAGGTAATTGCTGTCTTCCTTTCCGTTTATTCTCGACTTCAGGAATAAAAGGAGCAGTTACTGCTCTTCCTCTTTTCTTGCCCATCCTTTCACGGCAGAAGACTTTCTTTCCATATTTCTCCAGATACAGAAATAGATTAGCATTGCATAATATAGTCTTTATAATAACCAAGATTAGAGAAACCATCTTATTTTTTTTAATTGGCCTTTTATCTTGATCCTGCTTCAGTACTTTTTCTCCAGAGAGAAGTGCTTGTATTCTGAAGCAAGGACTTTGCATATTAATACACCATAATTTTAAACTTCAAAATATTCTTTCCTTCTACTACTTGTAAATTGCCTTGTCTATGAAAATGCATGGTCTTATTTAAGTAAAACAGTGAACCTTGTAGGAGATTAGATAGTGAAGGGGGAATGATTCGGTTTACTCCCAGATTCCAGCCTGTTGGTATGAGATGCTTGCCTGAGAGAGTTGGCACATACAGGGGGTGAAAAGATTCAGGACACAGGCTCCTTTGATGCTTTTGAAGCTGAAAGGAAGACTTGTTGGTGGGAGTATTAAGCAAGAAGAGAAAAATCCAGTAGTTTTTTTCATTGGATCGTAGTGGGCGATAAAAAAGAGAGGGTAGGGAGAAAAATGGTATTGTCAAAGAGGACGTTATCAAGCAAAAATGTACACAACTTTCAAGACCCTAACTTTTTTTTCAAGTAATAAAATAATTGAATTAAATTTATCTTAAAGAGTATATGTTAACTGTTTCTTATGGAGTGGTACCAAAAATGTAAACTATACAACAACCTATGTTTTGTTGTTGTTGTTGTTTTAAGCATAGTAGGCTGGACAGAACGGACATAGAACTGGTTTTCCAGCCCTGAACATTTCTCCCAGATAGTGGGAGTAGTACCTTGTGACTAGTACCTTTCTCCTCCATCACCACCACCACATTTGGGGGACAGATGAGGCCTCTCTGCCAGATGTATTTGTTCAGTTTTCCTTATCACAGCTTATTCTCTTCCTTACATGGCAGGCGCCAAGGAACTCATTGAATTAGTGGAATTTATACAATTCTTAGACTTGTACATTTTCCAGAACTTGAGGTTTTTTTTTTTTTTTATAAACTCTTGGTTTATCAATGGATACTTTATCATACAGCCATTCATAGATTAATGATTCCATGTGGGTTTTGAGTCTAGACATTGTTCTCTTAGAGAAAAGGTAGAACCAGACAGAACATTTAAAAACTCTAGCTCCTTGGAGAGAGAGAAGGAAGCTGATCAGGGATGCTGTAGGACAGAGGCATAGATCTCAGCCCTCTGCATTGTGCACAAATTAGTTTGTAAGTAATGCACAATACTTAAGGAAAGAATGTCCCAAGTCAGCCTTCATCTTTTATTCATAGTGCTTCTAATTTCCATGGTTGATGTTGGAGTAGATAAGATAAAAGGAGGAAAATGAACTGGGTACAAATTAGCTCACTAAGTATTGGCTGCAAATGAAGGAGAGTAAAGGATGAAAGGTCTCCAAATTAAATTAAAGACGCAACGGGCAATCTGTGTTCAATTATTCCTCCCTAGTAACTGGAAGGGGGCTTTTTTCCTCCCATACAGCTAACTAATTTTCAGCCTATCTTTTCAACTGAGATGTGCTGCCAGGAAAAAAATATTTGCATTGAACAATCCTACCTTTAACAGTGAAATCCAATTGCAAATGAAGCTTAGGGTGAGTCTTAGCCACAGAAAATGGGGTGATAGGAGAGTTTTTCCAGAATCTTCCCATAGCTCTGATGGGGTTTTGCAGTAGGGATCACAGGTAATCCTGCCTGTGGCACATTCTATCTAGCTAGCCCTCTGGAAAAGCTTATTTGCAAAGTATTTAAGCTGCCTTAATAAAAGCCACAACTACAGGTAAATGTGACTTTATAGCTGGTTGGTTTTTTCAGTAATACTATTGATCAAATTTCTGTTCTTTGCTAGAAAACCTTCAAAGCTTGCTTCAGTTTAAAGAAGATGCTTTTCAGGTCAAGTTGGTTTCACCTTTGGAAATCAATTGAATTAAAAGGTTAAAAAACAGCACTTTCCCAGGAAGGAAAAAAAAAAAAAAAAACAACTTCAGAAATTTTAAATTTAATGAGGTAAGGCTGGCAGACAGTCTCTGAGACACGGAAGGAGCTTGTGAAAGGAGTCAGTGAATGAAGATGTTTCTGGAACAGAGTGAACTAAGGAGACCGCTTGTTGGAGTTTTTTGTTGGGTGCTGGACAGGTGGAGGGGTTGAGGGTTAATACTGTTCCTTTTCTAAAGCATTTGTGTGCTTTCCCCTTTAAGTGCTGCTCCTTGGAGCCCTAATAGAAAGGATGTTTGAGCTGAAGGGGGTTTGACCCTTTCTCCCTGAAGAGTAATTCTGTATATATTTCCTGAAAGAAGACCCATGATTTACTTACCTTTCCTACTTGGTACGGTTACTTTGTGTGGAGAGTAATTATCTTCCAAACGAGGAGAAGAAACCTAGAAAGTTCTTTTAGGTGTAGCATAAAGACTACTCTACCTCACATGAGCCCCTCACCTTTTGTTTTTTCTCCTCTGAAACCATTTTGATAGTCATGCCATAGGTCTGATAAAATATGATAATTGTGTAAAACTGTGCATGGAAGACTATAGCCAAAGTTTTGTAAGCTCTCCTTGTTAAATCTCTAGATTTTCTTCCCTTGCCCTTGGTGTACAGTCCTTGAATTACGGTTCATTTTTCACAGAAGTTTCTTTGGAAACCTGCAGTTTTCATTTGGATTTTGATATTTTAATGGGCCAGAAATGACCCTTTGGGTTTAAAAGACCTTCTCCCTCTGCCTCGTCCTGTTTTCGTTCTCCATCAGTCTTTCCTCATCAGCCTGGTTTGCACTGAGGATTCTCTCTCATGAATAGATACGAAACCATGTTTGGATGGTTCCCTGTGAAGAACGTCGTGTTTTTTAAACATGTAGGCTGTTAGCTGCTGCTTCTTAGAAACTATAGAGGGTGGTGGCTCCGCTTTCTTCTGTCTGTTCCACTTGCCTCTAAATTACAAGCTGGTAAATTTTCTCTAGTGTGAACAGTAATGGAACAGTAATTGCTTTTAAGGCAGCTGTGAAAGCAAACTAGAAGAACAAGAGTCAATGGTCTTATTAACTCTTTCAGGCAATATTGTGGAGTTTGGGGGGCACAGAGTTCAATAATACTCGGCTTTGTCTATTCAAACCTTTGTGAAATCTTTTTGTTCTGTGTTTATTTACTTATTTTTGTCAGACAGGGTCTCTGTCACCTAGGCTGGAGTGCAATAGCGTAATTATCCAAACCTTTTTGGATTCTGCACTGTTGAGGCTTCTCTCAATCAACAAGTACCATCACAGGGAAGTGAGTCATTATAATAAGCAAAGCATTTTATCAACAGGAGTCTTCTGCCATATTTGAAGTCAGGTCGTTCTTCTCTACGATAATAACTTTTAATTTTTCTCTTTGACATGTTTTCTTTTTTTTTTTTTTTTTTTGGTTAACAGTTCTTTTGAATTGACAAGTATTGCATATATTTGTTGTATAGAACATGATGTTCTGATATAGGTAGACATTGTGGAATGACAAGCTAGTTAACCTGTTGCCTCCTCTATTTTTTCCTTTTTTTAAAATTTGAGACAGAGTCTCACTTTGTCACCCAGGTTAGAGTACTGTGGCATCATACCTCATGAGGTT